TATATATTTTATTTACATAATTAAAATCTTATTTAATAAATTAAATATAACAGAAAGTTATAAAGAACTAGTGAAATAATATTCACAGAGTATTAATAAGGTAAATGATACAGAAAGCAATTAACCTTAAAATTCCAGTACCAGTTCCAATATCTAAAATTGTTTTATAACCATCCCGAACAGCTCTTTCAATAGCACACTGGTAAGTGATATTTCTTTTTTTATCGTTAAGCATTATAAAATGCCATCTTTCAATAACTATATTACAAATATTTTCTAAACTAATTCTGGCTGGAGCAAAATCTGGATTTAAATTAAGAGCTTTGCGAAAATATGAAGCGGCTTCATCAATATGTCCCAATCTATATAATAAAGAATAATAGAAAAAAAATATTTTATTATTATAATACAAATGTAATTAGAAAGTTTGAATCTGTATAGATTAAATATTTATTTTCTATTTAGTTTACTACTCTTCTAACTACAGTATAAAAATTTTTTTGATTTTAATAACTTATAAAACTTTCTTAAAACATATTTACAAGGCAATTTCTGAATAAAATTTAATTATTTAAAAACTAAGTACAGTATCCAACACATATTGCTAATAAGAAACAAAAAGTAAAAGTATATAACAAGTAATTGAAAATGATTTTTTAAAATGTTACAAAATTTAAATTATTCTGTGATCATTTTAATCTTATTTAACACTAAATTTACGCAAAAGATACTGGTGGGAATTTACTGTATATATGAAAGCTTTAATCTATTTTGAAATTATGAAAGAAACATATCATTAAATCAATAGTTTTTAATGCAGTTTAACAATTCATAAGAAATTACAAAAACATTTCAAAATTTTGATTCCAAAATATATTCAATTACTTATCAGAAAATGAGTGTAACGAACACTTTGTACCATACATGTGATTGGTCGAGTTGCCAGTGGCGCGAAGCTATTGTTCGTTGGATTATAACTAAACGCCCCTAAGGCGGAAGACCCCTAACCGCGAAAACGGAAGTCGTTGGGAGAATAACCCTGCGCGATATGAGAGGAACCGCAGGGTCAGTCACTCTTTGGCTTGGTCTCTGGTTGTGAGGACGTCGACGAGTGCAAGAAGCAAGAAGAACGAACGTATACCCCAGAATAGATTGGAACCTTGGGGTACGGACTCACCATTTGAACTTGTACCTGGCTAAGATTCCAGTTAGCCGTAACAATGAGAAAGTATAAAAACTAATTGATATAATAATATTATACATTTCAATAAAAATTTAAATTATTAAAAATGAATATTATATTTAAAAATATACCATTAATACAATCACCATATAATGATAATTTATAAATTATATTAATAAACATATTTAAATTTCTAAAAGAGAAAGTTTTCATCTGTAAAAATGAACATAATAAATTTAAAACTAGAGGCTTATTCTATATTTCAATTTCATATTACATAAAGATATTTTAAAATCATTCATCTTCATCTGTAAGAAAAATAATAAAATTTCTATAAAGCTTATTTTAAAATTTAAATATTCCATTAAAGCTGATTTAATTTTTGTGTAGTCCTTAAAAAAGCAAAAGTAGAATATTAAATGATGTATCCATGCTTTCAGTTAAATATATTAAATTCATATTCTTATATTAAAATAGGACAAAGAATGAGTATTATGTATATGCCATTTGAAAACCAACAAAAGTAAAAAATTAGACTGAATAAATAATTTCAATAATAAATTTTTATTACTTATATATCTGGCAGATCATTTGGTTATTTTAATAAATCTGGTTATATATATTACTATATATAACTTACACATTTATATTAAATTTAATATTTAAATTTACATAATTTAAATGCTAATAACTTTGTAATAATGTTTCAAGATTATAGCTTAAACCTTCTATTATGCAATCCTGTAAATATTGTTCAAAAAACGTTTCATAATTCTGAGTTAAACTATTATTAATGCACTTACTTTAAAATAAAGTAAGTACATTACTTTATTTTAAATAATTACAATGTTATAAACTTCAAACGCTATTGCTTTGATCTCTGTTTGATGTATGCTTTAATTTGAATATGTTATATAATTTATGCAAGTACCTTGAAATACTTTACTTATCATTCAACAATATTAAGAAACTGAAAAACACAAAGTATCATTTTACAAATTTATTACTTGTTAGTATGAAAATTTCTTACTTCAGTCATTAAAACTATCAATGAGTTCAAGTACGTCAATAAATCAAGTCCTCATAGATTATCATTTATATCTTGAAATTCTCTATAAAAAACAGTTATTAATCATCTAAAGAATTTTATCAAGCACTCAATATTTCTCATATCATATGTAAAGTTACAAAACAAGAGACTATTTTTAAATTATATTTATCAATAAGTATATACAGTAAAAGTTCTTTTATTTGTTACTTGATTATTCATCAGTTTCTATTAACTGTCATGACACTGGAATGTGTTATGTCTGAGAAACCATATTATAATAAAGCATCTTATTTAATAAATTAAATATAACAGAAAGTTATAAAGAACTAGTGAAATAATATTCACAGAGTATTAATAAGGTAAATGATACAGAAAGCAATTAACCTTAAAATTCCAGTACCAGTTCCAATATCTAAAATTGTTTTATAACCATCCCGAACAGCTCTTTCAATAGCACACTGGTAAGTGATATTTCTTTTTTTATCGTTAAGCATTATAAAATGCCATCTTTCAATAACTATATTACAAATATTTTCTAAACTAATTCTGGCTGGAGCAAAATCTGGATTTAAATTAAGAGCTTTGCGAAAATATGAAGCGGCTTCATCAATATGTCCCAATCTATATAATAAAGAATAATAGAAAAAAAATATTTTATTATTATAATACAAATGTAATTAGAAAGTTTGAATCTGTATAGATTAAATATTTATTTTCTATTTAGTTTACTACTCTTCTAACTACAGTATAAAAATTTTTTTGATTTTAATAACTTATAAAACTTTCTTAAAACATATTTACAAGGCAATTTCTGAATAAAATTTAATTATTTAAAAACTAAGTACAGTATCCAACACATATTGCTAATAAGAAACAAAAAGTAAAAGTATATAACAAGTAATTGAAAATGATTTTTTAAAATGTTACAAAATTTAAATTATTCTGTGATCATTTTAATCTTATTTAACACTAAATTTACGCAAAAGATACTGGTGGGAATTTACTGTATATATGAAAGCTTTAATCTATTTTGAAATTATGAAAGAAACATATCATTAAATCAATAGTTTTTAATGCAGTTTAACAATTCATAAGAAATTACAAAAACATTTCAAAATTTTGATTCCAAAATATATTCAATTACTTATCAGAAAATGAGTGTAACGAACACTTTGTACCATACATGTGATTGGTCGAGTTGCCAGTGGCGCGAAGCTATTGTTCGTTGGATTATAACTAAACGCCCCTAAGGCGGAAGACCCCTAACCGCGAAAACGGAAGTCGTTGGGAGAATAACCCTGCGCGATATGAGAGGAACCGCAGGGTCAGTCACTCTTTGGCTTGGTCTCTGGTTGTGAGGACGTCGACGAGTGCAAGAAGCAAGAAGAACGAACGTATACCCCAGAATAGATTGGAACCTTGGGGTACGGACTCACCATTTGAACTTGTACCTGGCTAAGATTCCAGTTAGCCGTAACAATGAGAAAGTATAAAAACTAATTGATATAATAATATTATACATTTCAATAAAAATTTAAATTATTAAAAATGAATATTATATTTAAAAATATACCATTAATACAATCACCATATAATGATAATTTATAAATTATATTAATAAACATATTTAAATTTCTAAAAGAGAAAGTTTTCATCTGTAAAAATGAACATAATAAATTTAAAACTAGAGGCTTATTCTATATTTCAATTTCATATTACATAAAGATATTTTAAAATCATTCATCTTCATCTGTAAGAAAAATAATAAAATTTCTATAAAGCTTATTTTAAAATTTAAATATTCCATTAAAGCTGATTTAATTTTTGTGTAGTCCTTAAAAAAGCAAAAGTAGAATATTAAATGATGTATCCATGCTTTCAGTTAAATATATTAAATTCATATTCTTATATTAAAATAGGACAAAGAATGAGTATTATGTATATGCCATTTGAAAACCAACAAAAGTAAAAAATTAGACTGAATAAATAATTTCAATAATAAATTTTTATTACTTATATATCTGGCAGATCATTTGGTTATTTTAATAAATCTGGTTATATATATTACTATATATAACTTACACATTTATATTAAATTTAATATTTAAATTTACATAATTTAAATGCTAATAACTTTGTAATAATGTTTCAAGATTATAGCTTAAACCTTCTATTATGCAATCCTGTAAATATTGTTCAAAAAACGTTTCATAATTCTGAGTTAAACTATTATTAATGCACTTACTTTAAAATAAAGTAAGTACATTACTTTATTTTAAATAATTACAATGTTATAAACTTCAAACGCTATTGCTTTGATCTCTGTTTGATGTATGCTTTAATTTGAATATGTTATATAATTTATGCAAGTACCTTGAAATACTTTACTTATCATTCAACAATATTAAGAAACTGAAAAACACAAAGTATCATTTTACAAATTTATTACTTGTTAGTATGAAAATTTCTTACTTCAGTCATTAAAACTATCAATGAGTTCAAGTACGTCAATAAATCAAGTCCTCATAGATTATCATTTATATCTTGAAATTCTCTATAAAAAACAGTTATTAATCATCTAAAGAATTTTATCAAGCACTCAATATTTCTCATATCATATGTAAAGTTACAAAACAAGAGACTATTTTTAAATTATATTTATCAATAAGTATATACAGTAAAAGTTCTTTTATTTGTTACTTGATTATTCATCAGTTTCTATTAACTGTCATGACACTGGAATGTGTTATGTCTGAGAAACCATATTATAATAAAGCAGCTAAAGCTTATTCCTCATTATTCTTTATTACTTAAAAGCAATGAAGATTAGTGTAAAGTGCAATAACTGTGGATGAATGCAAAAGTGAACAGAAACTGACAATAAATGCATAACCATAATTACTCACAATGAAGTTGAAATTATGTTATCAAACAGCATCTAATGATTTGAAATGCAGGAAGAAATAGAGGTATCACAAATGTTACTATTACATAAAATATACAATATTTACTTTGTAAAGACTAGGAATTCATTGAAACAAAAAACAGATTATTCATTATTTTACAAAATAAATTTAAACATGTGTTTAAACTTGAGTTAGATAATATATACAGATACAATTTAAAACAAAACAAGTGTCATATAGTATATGTTGAAAATACATATTATATGCACATCTTTAAAACTGTATAAATAATTTTTAAAAATTTCCATTAACAGTCTTGTTTATTGTTTATCTGTCAGATTCCTGGTACTGACATCATTGAATAATTGAAGTTTTACTCAAAGTACAGTAGAGTAATAGCTATAGATAGTTTTTATTGATAAAGATTTTAATAACATTTTAATGAATTTTTATTTGTGTGCATGTGTGTTTTATTCATAGCTTTTAATAGAAAATTATAAAATCTTACTTATATAAACTTTTAAAATAAGAAATTTTTAATGACATATAATTATTGAAATAGTTTTTCAAATTTTGTAAATTCTTCTCAAGTTGGTCATTTATTTATTTTTTTCATTTTGAAAAAGCTATTTCTCATCATTGTCTAATTTAAAAACAGTAAGAAAATATGAAAATAACCATTTCTAAGGATCCTTTTGTAAACTGTATTTATAATGTAATGCTATTAGACTATGTTCATGTAGAAGCAATCATTTTATGGAAGCTTCAATCAAAATGAAATAACAATGATGATAATTCTAATAGAAAGAGATTTGTATAAACAATTTGCAAGCATAAGAATTTGTCAAAAAAAATCTGCATGCACAACAATAAAAAAAAATGTATCAAAAACTGTATACATTATCAGTTAGTTTTAAATTAGATAAATGACAACAAACAACTTTCAATAATTATTTAATTATTATTAAAAATTAAATTTTGTACTTTTAAAGTACTTTCAAATTATATTAATGATTTTAATTGAAAATCATAGAATCAAAAATTTATATAAACAGGCAGTCCATAAATATTGTCATGCCTTATGTGTAGTTCAGAATATGACAGTATGTGATAAGGGGGGATACCTCATGATATCTCATTTCACATTTACCATTAATAAGTGCCATATCTGCTTCTTTTATGCAATGTGTCATGTTTAAAATATGACTGTGATTGAAAAGTATCAGGAATTGTTCAATTAAGCTGCACGCATGTGAGTATGCTGCTGTCATTTTCTTCATTGTTTAGTATATCTTTCTTCAACATCTAGCATCAATCTGTATGTCATTGTCTGCCTTTGCAAATAAACACTTGTTTTGTGTGTAAAGAATTTTTCTGTTGGCAATTTTTCAAAATGTTGAGTGTAATCGAGCAAAGAATGTGCATTAAAGTTTGTTTTTGCAACAGAAATATTGCTACATAAACACTGGAAATGTTGCAAAAAGTTTTGAGACAATAGTCTATCAGAAACAAGAATTTTTGAGTGGTATGAGATGTTCAAGAAAGGCAGAGAATGTGTTGAAGATAAACCACACCCTAGAAGACCAACACTTCAACTGATGAAAAATCCATTACTTGAGTCTGAGATTTGGTGCTCAATGATCATCATTTAACAACTGGTGACATTATTGAACATGTTTCCAGCATCAGTTGGATCCTGTCAAGCAATTTTAAAAGATCATTTGGGCATGCAGAGCATATCAAGTTGTCTGAAAAACATTAAATATTTTCCAAAAACAACAATGTTCAAGTGACTGAGAAAATGCATTCTCAAGGCAAATCATTCTTAAAATGCTTCATTATGAGTAATGAAACATGGATCTATGTTTTTGCACCAAAATAGCTCAACAATCAAGTGAACAGCACTTGAAAAGTGAAGCAAGACTGAAGCGAGTGCATCAAAGTCAGTCAAAAATCAAGGTTGTGTCAACTATTTTCTTTGATTTTCATGGTGATGTGCATCATAAATTCCTTCCAACTAGCCAAATTGTCAACAAAGAATATTATTTGAGCATTTTGTATCATTTATGTGAAGTAATTCATAGAAAATGACCTGATTTGTGGCAAGAAAACTCATAAATTTTGCATCATAATAATGTACCTGCTTACAATGCTCTTGTTGTCTGTGAATTTTTGGGCAAAAATTCAACAAATATGGTTCCACAAGCTCTGTATTCATATGATATGGCACCATGTAATTTTTTCCCCTATTTCCTTGATTAAAATTTATCTTTCACGGTCACCTGTTTGAGTCAATTGATGCCATAAAACAAAATTTGAAGGGGTTTCATGAAAACAACTTTAAAGAATATTTCAAGGATTGAAAAAACATTGGCATAAGTGCATTACAGTGAGAGAGTTGTGCTATTGCTATGAAAACATAGGTTGTCTTTGTTATTAAAAGCACTTGTGAATGTTCAGCATAATTAACAAATCCTAAATATTGCAAGCTATGGACAATTAAGCCGTCATGGAATGTGTTGATCTTTCCGACCATATTTATTTATTTTTTTGTTGTTGCTTTCATAAACCTGAATAGTGTACACATTCACCCTTACAGTACCTTTCTATAGACTTGTCCACTGACTTTTGTGCCATTTTTGTAACTGTCATTTTTTTTATTATTAAGAAAACGGCTTTTTGTTAACACATGGTATTTTCAACTGTGTGCAACCT